CATCTTTCAACACAACATCAAACTTGGTACAAACATAGAAAAGAAGTTGCATTCAACATCACGTCAGGTGGAATTAAAGACAAATATCCTGGCTAGTTCGTAGGCATTGAAAGCATGTTCTCCTCACCTGGGAATAATACTTCAAATGCCTCGGACGACCGACTACATTTTGGATATCACTTGATCCACGTTTTACGCTTTAGTATCATGTGCCCGTGTTTAGTTCTATGTTTTCCCCTTTATGTTACAAGGATTAAAGTTTATTGTTTCAAGCTTGTTGTTATCGTTGGTATTAGGTTTTAAGCTTCTTTGTATTTGTTTAACGCTTTTAGCTTTAAATTTATGTTATTTCGGTTTGGGTTAGTGTTTTAGTTTAGACACAGAGAAGGACGTAGGTTTTAACTTTAAATTTTGGTATTTTGGTTTAATGCTTGTAGCTTTAAGTTTTTGTTATTTCTGTTTTGGTTAGTGTTTTAGCTTAGAGAGAGAGAGAAGGACTTAAGCTTGTAGCTATAATTTATGTTCTTTCGGTTTAATGCTTTTAGCTTTGAATTTATGGTATTTCGGTTTTGGTTAGTGTTTTAGTTTAGAGAGAGAAGGAGTTGACTTGTAATATTATTTTGGAGTTCCCCATTTGTATGACTAACATGATAAGGATGAAGCATATGTGCATCACAGCCACATACCCACATAGATAACCATAACTCACGTATTCAGTACCCAAACAATTACAGTCGAGTGCCGTTGTCTCGATATTCATGGGACCAAGAAAATATATCGAGTTATCCGAACTTCGAGACATCCGACCAGGGCATATCATCACATATCACTATGAAAGAAAACAAAACGCTTCTCAGTATGTTTTGATTCGAAACTATAATCCGTTATCAGCAGTGTATAGTCGTAACAGTGAGTACTTCCTAATGAATTCCTTCTTAATTAATCCTAATTAAATAACAAACAAGTAACACCTTCAACTCAATTAGCCCTAATTAGTTTACACTACTGCATCCCTTTGATTCATGCCGCACCGTGTGTAAACATGTGGAAACAACGACAGTTCAGAGGGATACTTGCCCATGAAAGGTAGGTGACTATCGAGTTTCTTTGCAAATATCAAGTTAAAAGGGTAATTTTGCTTGTTGGAACCATGAAATTATATCGAGATATCTGAGATATCGAGACATCCGTATCGAGTTGAATAATGATAAATTATGAAGGATTTTGCTGGGACCAAGATGTTATATCGAGACAACTTAGTTAACGAGTTATCAGAGTTTGACACAACGGTGCTCGACTGTACATAATGGACAAATAATTCAAGCATGTCAACACAATTTAGAATACGAAACATGGAACATGGAAGGATACAACTTTGATATCAAAGTCCGATCGCTGTGAAGACACAGTTGACTCCACGTAGGAAGACTCCACGTCGTGGTAGGTCAGAGCTCTGTGATTTCTTCAGGTACAGTGGAGCTGCTATACGTGCTGAACAACACATGATACACTTTACATCAACATGCATAACATACGTCAGTAAACGTCAGTGTCTGTCTGGCATGTCATGCCGTCAATTGACAGTTACAGCCAAGTCCTATACAACACCAGCATTTCGTCCTGCTTCCAGCAAAAATCACCAGCGTTTGCGCTTGCTTACTGCCAAGTCGTCTCTGAGCCATTGCCGAGACTCAAACTGGTTTGCCTGCGCCAGCCAGTGTTTCACCACCATACAACTTTGATATCAAAGTCCAATCGCTGTGAAGACGCAGTTGACTCCTCGTAGGAAGACTCCACGTCATGGTAGATCAGTGCTCTGTGATTTCTTCAGGTACTGTTGATAAAGGCAGTGGAGCTGCTACACGTGCTGAACAACACATGATACACTTTACATCAACATGCATAACATACGTCAGTAAACGTCAGTGTCTGTCTGGCATGTCATGCCGTCAGCTGGTGCCTCATGCTGGAGGTCTGAATTATCCCTCTTGTCTATGCACTACCTCGGGTCTTCCATCTTTCTGACCTCCGTGGGCAGACGTGGAGAGCAGCATTGCAGTCGCCTCATCGCCGTGCCCATCGCATCGTCGTGCCTGGGTAACAAAGGCAAAGATCTGAGCCAGTGGCCACCCTGGCTCCTTTCCCCGAGTAAAGAATACCCTGTCAATACGTTGGAATGTTAGATTTTTGCCTGAGAGTACTATGCAATTTAAAAAGTGAATAAATACTTTATTTGAAGAGATAGAATAACGCCATTTTGAATGCACCTCCACCATTGAATGGGCTTTCTGGCAATATGAGCCACTTTTGACTTTGGAAAAACAAGTTCTATAGGATTTTCCGCAGAAGTATAGCAAAAAATGACGATTTGTGCAATATATTTTCATGTTCGGGATAGATCAAATGTGTGTTCACCACTGTCACCGCCGATAAGTATAATGGATTTAGAAGCAAACAAAGACACTATAGGGCAAGGCCGTCGACACAAGAAGCGGCAGGATAAACAGACGTGTGTAACTTCTCAGCACAACGTCGCACATGTCCGTGTTATACGTCATTAGAATCATATTTTAGAAGGCTTTTGAGTGCATTGGAGATATTGAAAATAGGTTCATGGATATAGAAATTATTGCCGAACTCAACATCCGTTGATATCGGATGTGACACTCACACCAGAAGCGGCATTTTCAGATATGTGTAGCACCTTTGCAAACGATCGCACATATACATGTTATACGTTGTTAGAAGCACACATTCAAGGTCTTTCGAATGCATTATAGAAATTCAGGATCAGTCCATGGGTATAGAAATTATAGCCGAACTCAACATCCGCTGATGATGGAGGTGACACAGACACCAGAAGTGGCAGCAGTTTCAGATGTGTGTAGCACCTTTGCAAAATGTGGGGCATGTACATGTGTTATATGTCGTTAGAAGGGCACTAACAAGGGCTTTCGAATGCAATATAAAAATTAAGGATCGGTCCATGAGTATAGAAATTATAGCCGAACTCAACATCCGCTGATAGCAGAGGCGACGGACACAGGAGCGGCATTACATACAGACGTTTACACCTTTGCAAAATGTTGCACATGTACATGTTATACGTCTTTAGAAGCACACTTTCAAGGGGCTTTCGAATGCAATATAAAAATTAAGGATCGGTCCATGGGTATAGAAATTATAGCCGAACTCAACATCCGCTGATAGCAGAGGCGACGGACACAGGAGCGGCATTACATACGGACGTTTACACCTTTGCAAAATGTTGCACATGTACATGTTATACGTCTTTAGAAGCACACTTTCAAGGGGTTTTCAATGCATTATAGAAATTAAGGATCGGTTCATGGGTATAGAAATTATAGCCGAACTCAACATCCGCTGATAGCAGAGGCGACGGACACAGGAGCGGCATTACATACGGACGTTTACACCTTTGCAAAATGTCGCATTATGTACATGTTATACGTCTTTAGAAGCACACTTTCAAGGGGTTTTCAATGCATTATAGAAATTAAGGATCGGTCCATGAGTATAGAAATTATAGCGAACTCAACATCCGCTGATAGCAGAGGCGACGGACACAGGAGCTTGCAAAATGTAGCACATGTACATGTTATACGTCTTTAGAAGCACACTTTCAAGGGGTTTTCAATGCATTATAGAAATTAAGGATCGGTCCATGAGTATAGAAATTATAGCCGAACTCAACATCCGCTGATAGCAGAGGCGACGGACACAGGAGCGGCATTACATACGGACGTTTACACCTTTGCAAAATGTCGCACATGTACATGTTATACGTCTTTAGAAGCACCCTTTCAAGGGGTTTTCAATGCATTATAGAAATTAAGGATCGGTCCATGGGTATAGAAATTATAACCGAACTCAACAACCACTGATAGCAGAGATGATGCGGGAACAAGAGTCGGCATTACACACAGCAAGTCGTTTGTTATTGTTTTTACTGTTTCAGGTTTTTGCTTCACCATAAATATTTCAAAAGACATACTTATAATAAGTATGTGCAGGCTTGCCGATCGTGATCAATCACAAGAATAATTTGACCATGTACTTTGACGAAGTTTTACTTTATATGAGTAAATATGAATAAGAAAGACAATTAGAAAACTTCCACAGTACTAACTGGTTACGCAGCTGAAGGTAAGTTTTACCCTGAACTGTCTATGTTAAACATATAGCCTTAAAAATCAAAATCTGTAGTATAAGAAACAATGTCAAATTTTTAGAGTTACACCTTATAGATCATATGTCTACTTGAACAGGTATTGCAAATTAACAGTAGTATTTTTTAATGTAGAGCTTATTTTGCTTATGTCCTTGACATCATGCCAGGTCAACACATATCTGGTGATTTTAGGTTGTTTGATCAAATTTGCCTGAAAACAATAGAGATTTTATTGTTAAGAATGATGAAAACTCCAAAATAGCTGATTTCGAGTAAGAAACGCCCAAATGCAATAATTGTGAAATTGGTGTTTAATTTAAGAATACTATATCTATTACATCAGGGTATACTTGCACAAAGCAGTCTTATGATGATTGTAACTCAAATGCTCAAACAAAGACTTACAATAGCTGTCATGCTGATATTGCTTTGTGCAAATGGGCCCAGGAATTATGAAACCCACCTTCTCAATAATCATATGTAGGTATTAGATTTGGAAAGAAGTGATTTTTTCCAGCCTCATGCATGCACTAAAGCTAAGGGTCGCAAATTACCAGTAATTTGACAACTGATGACGTTATTTTTTTGTCAGTGGTACATTCAAACTTAATACATGGTACCAATTTGTCATGAGAAAGTTTCAACAAGGCAGACAGTTTCAAAAGTACTCAAAATATTTTGTTATATCTGTACACTTGCTTAGCCTGTTTACATCATGCAAATGAAGAATAAGGTGGTTCAGTACTGAAGGGACTGGCAAGATGATGTACCACAGAAGATGTTTGCTAACACTCATTTGTGTTTTCAGATATACCGTCACTGTGCTGATCTGGACACTTCTGGCCTTAAGGACCCTAGACTACATGAGGCTACAAAGATATCCTGCTTGTACAATCTTGGACGCCTTTACACAGAGGAAGAAGAGTATCAGGTACATCAAATGTATTAATTGTCTGGTACAACAACAGACAATCCCACATAACAACAGATGATGTGTTTCAATTATTATCACATGCATCAGGGTCGAATACAGCTTTGAGAAAGGGGGGGTGCACACTATTGGGAAAAGGGAGGGTGCACACTTCATTTTCACCAGAGTTTCAAAGGTCATTTAATAAACTTTCAGGACAAAAGGGGGGTGCGCACCCCTGCACCCCCCCTCTGGATCCGCCTATGTGCATGCATCATCTTGTGGAAGACATTGTTAAACCTGCTGTCCCATTTTCACTCCTTCACTCCCACGTGTGTGATTATTGCGGGAAATATGAAAATTGTGTTTTCCTGCCTACATGGAAAATGACCAGTGAGAGCCATTCAATGTTTCCAAGTCATTCAGAGATTTACGGAAACTGTCGATGTTTACCGAAGAGAGGCCAAATGTTTGTTCAAAGCAGAGGTTAGTGCTAATGCGAGGGTCAGTGGTCAGATATAAAATGCAGTTAGACAAATTGAATATGATGAGCGGAAAGGTAAACTAATGACCTACAAGCTCAACACAATGTTTTTGTGAAAAACATAAGGATTGATTGAACAGCTCATTAAAATAATGAGCCTGCTCGGTTTCGATCAGGTTTTTAGTATCGGGAGTGTCACCCCATGTGTATTTTATGTAATGATGTGTCAGTAGAATTTTCTAAAGTCTTTATTGCTTGACCGATTTCATTCAAATTTGAAATATATGTTAATCATAACATCTAAAAAAGATATATGATTGCAAAAGTATAGATTTTTATTTTTTTAAATTATTGTCCAAACAGTGAATCGGACCCCTGTGCTGTGCAGGGAACAATTTAGAATTTGCACTGGTGCAACCTTAATCTTCAAAATGCAACCTCATATCTATACATACTTATATACTGAGTCAAAAAAGAAACTTCACAAAATGTAATTTGAAAAATAATGAATAATTTTTCTCTGATGATACATCTATGTATCCGAAATGGGATCCCTATCTTTCGACTCTAGAAAAACGTTAGCAAAACCCACTCAAACCCATCCATTCGTCGTGCAAACGTCGTGCAAATGACGTTAATGCCAAATCAGGTTTTACACATGCAGTCGATAACGTGATCTTCGCATCGAAGTTTTCTTCATATGCTCGTGTTTACATTGGCCTCAAGAATTGAAATGCCACGATTGTCAAATGTGCAACGTGAACGTGCCGTTGGCATGTTGCAAGCGGGAAGATCAATTATTGACGTCGCAAGAGCAATGGGATGCAGCCATCATACTGTGTATGACTTGCGAGGTCGTCTACAACAAACTGGCACCACTTCTGATCGCCCAAGGTCGGGTCGTCCATGTGTGACGTCACGAGCAGAAGACCGTCAAATCGTCCTACGTCACCTACGTGACAGATTTCTGCCGGCTACACAACCAGGGCTGAGATGTTTAGAGGTTGACTGTCCTCACAGACCATTCGAAATCGGTTGCGGGCTGCCAATCTCCATTCTCGACGTCCATATCGTGGGCCAATATTGACGCTGTTTCATCAACGTCAACGTCTGCTGTGGGCCCAACGTCACCTCCGATGGACCCAGAGACTGGAATCGAGTCGTCTTTAGCGATGAATCCAGGTTTACCCTCAGATTCGCGGACGGCAGGCATAGAGTCTGGAGACGACGTCGTGAACAGGAAGTCGACAGATTCGGGGGCGGAAGTTGCATGGTGTGGGGTGCTTTCTGTGGGAACAACGGCTCCGACTTCTGGTCATCCGTGGAAACCTCACAGCTGCTGCTTACGCGACCAGGTGCTCACCCTGAACTCGTTCCTTTCATGGCGGCTCATGGCCCAGGTCTACAGTTCCAGCATGATAATGCTCGGCCGCATACCGCGATGTTGACACGAAATTTCCTTCAAAGCGCTGGAATCAACGTCATGGACTGGCCATCGAGGTCCCCTGACCTTAATTCAATAGAGCACGTTTGGGATGCTTTGGGAGAAGGCCGTGGTCTTAGGAACCAACCTCAGAATTTGCAGGAACTTAGTGCTGCCTTGCAAGAGCAATGGCGCAGAATCCCCAACCCGCGTGTTCACAAGCATCAGGCAGTCGATGAGGAGACAGTGTTTGCCAGTGGTGAATGCGCGGGGCGGCCATACACGATATTGAACTGAGAAATTTCGCATTTTTATTCTTGTGACTTGACATTCTGTATACCCATGTTTTGGAACGGCGGTGTAGCCTAATGGAACTGATTATGGCACTGTCAGTGTATCGAGTACATCACACAGATCTCAGCAATGAAATAATAACAATTTAACCATCTTACCATCTCTTGTTCGTTTATAGTGCCCTGAAGAAAGAATGTGAAGTTTCTTTTTTGACTCAGTACAGTCAGACCTCGTTAATACGAACACTTTGGTTTTTTAAAAAAAACGTTCGGATAGTGAAACGTTCGTACTGCTGAAACCACAGTATATGCACCGAGTTACTTCCCCTTGATATCTTTCCTTACTATCGAGACTCTGAGGTCATAGATGAAGCCTATGTTTATGAAGGAAATTATAATCCTACTGTTGATAAATATGAAGTTTATTTTTATAATGTTATTCAAAAACTATGGCGATTTTTTTTCCATTTGTGACATGTCATAACATGCCAGTGCCTTTTCTTTTATATTTTCATTTTACGTCATCAGAAAATTATTATAAAAGATTTCTTAAATAATATGTATGGTTGCCTATTTCCCGATATCAGTGGCTTTCCGCTCGGTAACATGACATAACAACGGAAAATACCTCCGTTTTGAAGCGTCATTATGAATAACATGGGAGGGCGAATCGTTTGATGTCGGGTATCGTTCAAAAGCTCTGAACATCAACAACATCACTGAACCCTTGCCGAGAGTATTTTCACAGTTGTAAGAAGTGATTTTATTGGATAAAAATTGGTTTCTAATGACGCTTTTTCGCTACAGTCTGCTATAAGGGTCGTGATTGGTCAAAATCAGACACGTGACCTAAGGCAGCCAATCATATCACGGCAATGGATATCGTCCTAGTAAACGAAAACTTTTAGATTTAGACGAAAGTTTTGGGTAAAATAATGCTATTTTGAACATATTGAGCAAGAAATCGCTACCTTTTAGTTTATTCAATTTACATCGTTACTTTGCTCTTTGACAATGTTACTGTGGACCCGCTGCCGAAGCATGTGTCCGAGAATCGTTGTTTTCAATAACATTGCGAAAAATAGTTTATAATTTTAATTCGGTACCGAGCATATATTTCTGGATTGATGTCTTTCCTAAAACAGCGTGTTCGTCGAAATTTCCCTATCACTTATGATAAAGGGATCAAAGGGATGAGTCGCTAAGTCGCTAAACAAACAACGTGTCACTTTGAGTGGACAAGTCAGCAGCGCGGTCAACTTCAATCGTTCGGATTAACGCAGCTGTTTACAACTTAATTAGTCCAATCCGTTCCGACTGACCAGCGTTCGGAGGCGGAAACTGAATCATCGGACTAACGAGGTGTCAATTATATACAATATATAGGAAGATGATTTGGTGCCCGGTGAGTAGCGTTCGGAAGTCGGTGGATTCGGATTAACGAGGACCGGATTGCCGCGGCCTGACTGTATATATGTTCATATTTTGCTGTTCAAAGAACACAAACTTCAGCTGGGAAACAGAATGATGAGGAACTGTCTTGGAGCAGTAACACTTATGACTACACAGTCATTGATTGAAAGAGTGACCATTCGCGTCATGAAATTTTATGAAGTAATATAAAATAATCATATCAGACTCACAGTAATTTTGTTGCAGTGACGTTGTAAATCATCAATGCCGAAAGCTAAAACTATAACATTCTGGATTATAACATTCCCTTTGGATTATGGTTGCCTTGTTCCTGTGGTTACCACAGGTACATACAGAAAAATGGAAACGTCATTCCTTGCTACCATACAAGACCCACTACTACACAACTATCAGCTATCATGGAAAGAAAAGTTATTATACTGGGATTCTCTATTATCGCGGGCTCTCTATTATCGCGGCACGCGAAAACATCGGGAAAGCAGACTCACCACGCCCCGCATCGGCTGTTTACATATTCAAATTACATAAAATATATTCATCGCTCTTGAAAAAGTCATTTATTTCATTGGAATATAACAGGAAGTGACGTATTATGCAACTTCCCTCTTCACATGGCTGCAACTTGTATGGCACATTTTAAGGCGGAAAAAACATCATTTTGTAACGTTTGTGCAGAAACATCATGAGCAGGAGTGAATTAAGAAAAACACATTTATTGTAAATACACACATAATATTGGCCGGAATGAGATAAAACTACATTCATTATACATACACATATAATACTATTTGGCACATAATTGGGAGCTGGCTCGGTTGCTACTTACTGATATTTACTAAGATTAGTTGCAGGGGCAGTAGCCGGCCTGCACAACCCGAGATGGAAGCAATTGCAGGGGACGAGCCGGCCTGACAAATGCTTAATGTGCAGAGGCATTAGCCGGCCTGCACAGGGTGAAGATGGAAGAATTTGATTTATGAGATTTGGGGCATATATTATGAATTACAATGCCCCCCATGATAGTATGTATTAACTTAAGTATAGGTTAGAACTGAGAACATGTAGTGAAAAGAAGTAGGTAAGTTGAACCGAGCACAGCTCCGAGGAGGAAGCCTGGGGTGGAGGTGGGCTTTGAAATAGCAACCAACATGGCGCTAGAACTGAACAAGACAAAGGAACATGGACTGCATGCGCAGAACCGCATGTGCGCAGGATTAGGTGACGTCATGCACATGTAAAGCTAATTATGAGCTGTTAAGAATTTTTGAAACAAAATATATATGTAGGGGATTTATATGGATTTGTAGAAGAAAAAAAGGAGTACATGGGTAAAGAATATAGTATAATTAACGAGCTAGATGTACAGTGCCTAAGCGGAAGTGAATCA